TTTTAGTCAGGTGCGGCTAATGTATGTACAAAACAGGATTTTCCCCTGATTTTAGCTTGTGCGGCTAATATTCAGGTGCCTTTGTAGTCCGGGAAATAATGTACATTGATTCATGTGTGTAGATGTTTTATGTCTGTGCCCAGAGAAGGCCACAATCAAACCTAACCCATGTAACTGTTTAACATGTGTAGATGTCATTTTTCATCGTCTTTCGTCCTCCCACCACTGCTCTCTCCTCCCTCCTCTCGTCCTCTGAACTGAAGTCCGAGCTCTGTCACCCAAACGCGTATAAACATCCGGATTTATTCCAGATGTTGTCACGATCACTTCGTTGTAATCTCCCGTCCCAGCACAGCTGACGATGCTCCAACTAAACGACTACACCAGGTTATAAAGTTTGTGTTCGGCTCAAGTCGCAATCACAAAGTTTGACTATGTTCTTGCACATGAGAGTTCATTCACTAAATATTTACGCCCAACAACGTCAGACACACGTCAAAGACGGTTTCAGACTAAGACGAGCAGCTTCACGGTCTAATGCACGATCAGTCTGCAGTAGCTGCGTTGCAGTCGATACGATGGTATCAATGGTCTTAAATTTGAAGGCTGACTTTGAATTGCTAACATACTGCGGATGTGGTTGTCGGCACAGTGCATCATGTCAGCTGCGTGGATAAACTGGTATCCGGAGCCTTTCATGCACAGCTCAATCTCGGAATAGCCCAGCACGATCTTCCCCCTGCAAACAATAAATGGTGGAGTTAAAATTCAGTTAGCAGTAAAGCTGACTCCACCGTGACGGAGGATGGTGTTCTGAGATTTTAAGTACTTTAAAAGCAAATATATGAAGAATATAAAAAACACAGCAGCCCAGATAATTTGCTGTACCTGCTATCGATCCCTGTGGGGGTGAAGTCCAGCTTGTGCTTGGTTTGAAACAGGAGCATTTTAGCTCTGATCTCCACGATGGACGGAGGCTGCACGGGCATGGCGATGGCGAACAGGGCCAGCTGAGGTCTGCGACATGCCCCGTTGTCCCTCAGCAGACTCTGGCCGTGGACGTACTTCAGTCGCCCCTGGAACTTGAGAGCCTGGTTAACGCAAGGAAATGAGATGTATTTTTCTTTTTTTTCCTGAGCTGACCTTTAACCTTCAACCTTTAAACTAACCAGAAAGCCCGAGGAATTGTCCAGCAGGCAGCGGAAGCGACACACGAAGCTGCGCTCCAGGAAGGAAGAGTTCTCCGGCGGGAGGTGCTCCGGATTGTGCATGACTGTGTTACCACAACTCTGCAAGACTGAGAA